GTGTGTGTGTGTGTGTGTGTGTGTGTGTGTGTGTGTGTGTGTATGTGTGTGTGGTTGTCGATGTGTGTGATTACCAACTTTAGGGGAGCGGAGAAGACGGGAGGGGACCTGTGCGAATGGTGGCGGAGACGCGGGGGAGGGGCTCGCAAGATAGGTAAAGGCAACACCACCACCTCCATCAACACCACAATACTACCGCCAAACCCACTATCGATGCCACCACCGTCAACACCATTCATCGTCAACTGTGTGATCGGGGACGGTTGTTGAGTGCGGCGATGCGTCGACCTCGTTGACCCACATCTGCGCTCCTTGAACAGCAGCTATCACTAGATAGCCCCCACCTGCACTCCCTGAGCCGTGTCGAGAGTGAGGAAGTGGGTCGCCGCCTGCACGATGAGAGAAGTGGCACCCCTCATGTCCAGGATGTACGGGGTGTTCCAGTTGGTTACCGAGTAGATCAACACCTGGCAAAAACATGATCGGTGCCCAGCAGCAGAAGCAGCGAGCAGCAGTCGTTATCAGTGTCGACACAACGAGTGGGAACGGCGCAGTCTATTGGGCATGTTCGACTGGGCTGGGGATCCATCCCGAATGATACCGCTACTCAGGGGTCATGTTCGTGCGGGGAGCGATCTCTCATCTCTAGACAATGGATAGAGAGCGAACCATGGTAGGACAAAACCACTCCCACTCCGAGAGTTCAAAGAAGAATAACCTACTTTTCACAGAGGCAACAAAGGCACCACCTACAAACGTAGCTGCCCCCCCCCAGCCAGTCAACTTTGTTCGATACTATATGCCACGCTTCTCGTCAATTGCTACCTGCCCACACGTTAATATTTTGAGATATGTTGGGGATTTTGTAAGGCTTGCTGTACCTCTGCGCAGCCACCGCAAGGCAGGATGCTTCATTTATACCCCGCTGGCCTGGCCTTTCACCTGATTGTGCGTTGCCGCCACGAGATGTCCGAACCCGAGCGACATCTCGACGACCCTGCCCCCTGAGAAGTCTAACTCTTCCACGACTTCGCTGCCCACATCGCTCACTTTGATCTTGAAGGGGCTAACAAGGGTGGCCTGCCGACGACAATAGGAAACACCCAAACGCGGATATTGTGGACAGAAAGAGAGTGTTCACAGGTCGTAGTACTCAACTCTACATTAACAGTAAATCACGCCGCATGTTTTCAATTTTGGGCGTCGCTGGCCTTCATATCGGAGGGACTGGCAAGCAAGACGTAAACGCCACCGTTGGGAGTGCTAACGATGGTGCCATTGCAGTGCCGGTGCTTTTTGCCGACAAGATCGAAAAACAACCCCCCCGCCGGCGATATATGACATGAAGAGTAATTCGGCATCCACTCACGGTTCTGCACCGTGGGTCAACGGAACCCTAGCAACAAGTTGGGGGGGTTCTCATCAACGGCACGGAACGCAGCAACAACTACACGGTGCTAGTGCCAGTCCTTCGACTGCTGTTTTCGCAAACACATACCTCTGCCACACCAAATCGCATTGTCGCCAAAACAACGCGACATGAGGTCCACATTCAATTGCCGTGTTTCCAGAGAATAACGATGAAAAGCTTGCAACCTACCCCACTGTAGGAGAGTCCGTTGCCCTAGAAAGAGGGCGTGTGACTTAGGACCTGCCTCAAATCCAGGGTATTTCAATCAACCCCTCGCGGCAAATGTATCTACCACTCACAATGAGTCCCTCCTTGGAACCCGCTCAAGCCGGTTTTAAGCGCCCAAACTCGGCAACAAGTGAAATGTCAATACTTCTACGACGGTATACCATGGATATCGTAGAACTACCTTATCCACACTACAGCCAGAACTTAGTGCCTGTAGGCTCCTCCTCACCTCGAAAATATCCCATTCCAGGGACCGCTCAATCACTTGCCCAAACACCACGGAACCGTTGCCGCCGGCCGCTGCTAGCTGCGTTCCGTCGGGGGTCCATGTGAGGCTGGTTAGGCTTCCGCTCTGTGGCCTGACGGAAAAAAGACAGTGAATATCACACATGCACAAAGGCAACACCACGTGTGTGGAAGGTGAACGGTACGCATTGGAGAGAGACAAACAGACAGAGAGAGAGAGAGAGAGAGAGAGAGAGAGAGAGAGAGAGANGACAAATGATTGTGACACAGTCGAGAGAGAGACAAACAGAGAGAGAGAGAGAGAGAGAGAGAGAGAGAGAGAGAGAGAGAGAGAGAGAGAGGCAGGCCGACAGAGACCAAGAGAGACAGAGTGAGAAGCAGAGAGACAGAGAGACAGTGAGAGAATGCTCCTATCTACGGGTTCGGGTTGGGACGCCACCCTCGTCTGTGCGGATCCTACGTATCGACCCCCCCCAATAACGGAACTAGAACCGTATTTTGTGATACCGTTTCCGTCTGTTCTACCTTGCTACTGCCGGGTTATTGTTGTTCCCATTAGAAGGCGCCTTAGCTGGTGAGCAAAGACACTTCTCTAAGGAGCCACGGAAAGACAAAAGGATGCTGATGATCAGCTGATCGCTTCTACGTGTAGCCCCCCGTAACATCCACCGGGGTTGTGGAATCCACCGCTCACTATATCCACTATCCGATGATTCTCCACCCCGCCTTCTCCCTTCTTTCTCGCGACAGCCTCAGCCTTGTTCTTGATAAGTAACACCCTCCACACCAGGGGTGAGGTTTCGGAACCCACGGTTTCGACGCAGAGAGGCGATTCTCCTACATGCGGGTTTGGGTCAGATTGTGTCCTTGTATTGGGCCACTTCACGAGCAGCTTTGATCACTATTTTTTCGTAGTTTAACGGTGCGAAACACATGTCAACACTTCGAGGTTTTCATTCGAAAAAATGGAGCGGGAAATGGCATCCAGCATGAGGTAATGAGTTAATCTTGCCCGGACCAGCTTGATTCCACCCATTCATGGATGGCTGATTTTGTGCCAGGAAATGCGGGGGTGCGGGGTGGCCTTTGTCTCTGCCTCTGCCTCTGCCTCTGCCTGTCTGTCTCTGTCTCTATCTCTGTTTCTGTCTCTGTCTCTGTCTGTCTCTGTCTGTCTCTATCTCTGTTTCTGTCTCTGTCTCTGTCTCTGTCTCTGTCTCTGTCTCTGTCTCTGTCTCTGTATCTGTCTCTGTCTCTGTCTCTGCCTCTGTCTCTGTCTCTGTCTCTGTCTCTCTCTCTCTCGCTCTCTCGCTCTCTCTATATCTATCCCTCTGTCTCTCTGTCACTCTGTCTCTGTCTCTGTCACTCTGCCTCTGTCGCTGTCTCTGTCGCTGTCTCTGTCTGTCTCTGTCACTGTCTCCGTCTCTCTCTCTCTCCCGCTCTCTCCCTCTCTTTCTCTGTTCTCCCTGCCTCCCCGCCTCTCCCTCTCTATGATTAGCGCCACCAAGGTAGCATACTATCTTCCTTTTCTGTCCCTCCCGAGCCTCTCCACACGCTACCGCACAATTCATCCTCTTCTCCATTGCGTCCGGCTACTGCCGTCATCAAGCTGTCACCATGTTCACTGTTCTCTCAATGGTAATTGATCGTGATGACATCACACCAAAGTACCCTGTCTGTGGACGCAATGTCGGGCATGGGCGTTCTTAGTTTACTCCTCTCTCTCCATGTCAGCATTCGATCATATATCTCTCCCCTCATCTGTCTGAATATTCTCTCGCTGACCTGTCTCTGGAGTGGCTCCAGCCAGTCTTGTCGCACAGCCGAAGGGTGTTAAATGCACCCACTGCGAAAGTCTCCCCGTTGGGGCACCACTTGACAGACGTGATCGTGTATCCCAGTCCTCCGCTCTGGAACATCTGACGACCGAAGCTATCCCACACCTGGCCCACGTCAACCAATCAATCAATCGACCAATGAACCAACCAAACGCGCGTTCAAATTGTTCTTCAAGTGAGCCTATCGTAGATCACGGGTCTTCTTCCAGATCGTGCAGTGCCTTCACAAGAAGAGCACGTGGTACAAGTCACTTTACACACTACATATGCTACATCATAGGTACTGTTGTACGCTACAGCAGTACAGATGTACAGCTACTGCTGCTTGTAGCTGTACACTTTCTAGTCTATGGTTTTTCTTGAAACTTCAGCAAGTAGATCACGTCGAGATCTTTCCAAACCGACCCATTCGGCAGTACTGTAGCACCCTATTGGTTGCGGCACCGCTCTACACTAATATTATGGGCGGGTGCGATCACTCTCTCGCTCGTGTAAATGATCAAGACGATTGGAGCGGACCCTAGTACTGCTGTACTGCTGAATAGCGTAGACGAGCAGGATCTGTTTGACTCGATGTGATTGGTGCTGAGCCGTGCTCCTGTTGAGCGCTGGAAGGGTGAGAGAGAGGGGGAGCTCACGCCTTCACGCTCCCCCTCTCTCCTGACTGCTGTTCCTGTCGATCAACTGGTCGAAAAGGATCTACGATCTACTACTTCTGTACGATCTATGTACACAGTAACTGTAGGTGACACGAGATACCACACCCCCTGGACCGATTTTCCAAAGCTCCACTACGCCACGAAGACGAGGATACCAACTCATATTGATGAGTTTTCGGCAAGATCTTGACGGGATTGTTCCTACGCTGCCGTTTTCGGCATAACCACTCTGTTTGCTGCGGAGTTTGTCAAGCTTTGTGGTATCTTGCGTCACGAATAGTATTTTTTTTTGTCTTCACTTCAAGTCAGCGCTCACAGCACTAGTACTGTTTTCTCCAACCCATGGTTACACAGGAGAGCCCCTCTCTACCCTCCCCTCCTGCGGTACGTTGCCTTCGATTTTTTATGCGAGAAGAGTTCAGCACTCTCGCCCTCTGCGTCCACACGAACTACAGTACACAGTACAGTACATCGCGCTATCCACCAGGCCAAAAGCGGAAGCGGAGAAAAACTCAATTTGCAAGAAAAACTCGCTTACGCCGGGATTCGAACCTCTGACCTGACTCCCCGAAGGTTCGAGGTTACCAACTAGACCACCGGGGCGACCGGCGGTATTGTAGAACGTAAACGTGGCGTAAACACGCAGACCGTCCTGCTGACGACACCAACCGGAACCTCTGGGCGCTTGCCCGAGTACTGCTGTGCTGCGGATGGTGTTTGCCTACCTACAGCTACAGCTGCGCATGGACTGAAAATCCTGCATCCAACACCATCATACTCGGAGCCGTGTAACCTTCGTCTCTCCAGCGTGTCTATCAACTTCGACTCGCTGAGGATCGCAGGAACAGCTCTTTTAGCGAAGACTAAAGTACCCCTGTTTCAACCGCGAGTGAATATACATAGAAACCAAATCCGGCACGTAACAATCATCATATTTTCTCGGCCTAATATAATGGTGAAGATCAAGTACGTATCTGTTGTAATCAGTGTGAAACCTGATTGACGCTCAGTCAGGGGAAGTGTCATTTTCACACCTGTTTTTGAAATCGCCGGGTAGGCATGGCTTGCAGTGTTCCGGCAGGATGTCCTCGGCATTCTACTACAGCCTTGTGAAGCCTCGTGAGGTCCGTTCCCTCGGAGACACAAACAAACAACACAATACTAATCAACACAACCGAAAAATTCAGGGCTATACGTTGGATGTTGATGGGATGGTAAATTTGGTGGTAGGTGTTGTTGTTGTTGTCTTCACATTAAAAACCGTTCCGATCGCTCTCTTCCCAGTACCTGAGTATGTCCGTACTGATACAACACCCGACGCGGTCGATTCCCGTGGTCGCAGGCTAACTTACCCTAAAAAGGTACACTAAAAAATAATGGCCCCGAGGGGTCCCACGTCAATAGAAATCAACGACAGATATTCTGGAGTCCTCCACTCCCTCTGCGGGCTATGCGAGGTAACAACTGAGACTAGGATTCACCATCACGGGCCGGAGAGAATGAGTACACCCCCTTGGTTCAATCTTGGTGCTTCACAACGCAAGCAGAGACAAGGCCATCTGGCACAGAAAAAGAGAGAAAAAGAGAAAAAGAGAAGAAAATAAAAGGAAACAGTAAGGAAAGAGAAATGTAATGGGATGATGGTAATGGGATGGTAGACTTGTGGTATGGTAGGAGATTTGGATCGCGTTTACCACTGGAAGGCACCCGGCCATGACTCCCTCCCTGCCGAGTTGGTCAAGATCGATGACGACGAACCCTTCGTCCTGGAAAGCCTCCATACCATCCTCGTCAAGGTGTGGAACGGAGGAGATATTCCGCGAGAGTGGAAGGATGATNAAAAAGAGAAAAAGAGAAGAAAATAAAAGGAAACAGTAAGGAAAGAGAAATGTAATGGGATGATGGTAATGGGATGGTAGACTTGTGGTATGGTAGGAGATTTGGATCGCGTTTACCACTGGAAGGCACCCGGCCATGACTCCCTCCCTGCCGAGTTGGTCAAGATCGATGACGACGAACCCTTCGTCCTGGAACACCTCCATACCATC